TCACAACATTTATCACTAAATCTCGAGGATTTTCAGTCTTTATGTCACAAACAGTATACACACTCTCAGTGTCTTTGAAATGCAAAACTTTGATTGTCTTTGACTTAATGTCTATCCAATAGAGTAAGTCGTGAACCCAATCGAGTAATAGACTATTAGGCTGTCCCACGACATCGATCTCATCGGACATATCAACAGTTGATTGAATGGACTTCAATATAAATTTATGTTTTTGCGGATCAAACCAAACAATGCGATCATCTTTTATGTTATAATCCATTAAAGCGGACACTCGATCGCCATTCATAGCAATGGTCTTCACATCATTTGAATGTACTTTTAGTAACACATTATATGCCGACACCAAAAATGTCACGTTTATATCTAAACATAAGAGTCATTATTAATTATTTTCAAGTTAATTATTATCACACACTATACCCAATTCCTTTGCCATGTATGCAATTTTGAAACCCCTATCTGTTACTAATGTATTTGTTTTAAATGTCAATGTTAACTCGTTTGAATCGGTGTATAAATTTGATGGCATATTATGTCCACTATGGGTAATCGATTTGTATATATCACCGATTTTTAAATGATCAGTGTCCTCTGTTTGGAAATCGATAAAATGTAATATAATTGTGTGATTCTTAGGCACTCGTATCTTCCACTCGCAGTTCATTTTATTGTAATATCCATTGGGATAACCAGGACTATGGATAATACCCTGGCGTTCAGTTAATTCAAGTCCACAACCTTTTAGTTAAAAAATTAATTATTAAATATAAATTAATAATGAATGTTCTCTGTACTGTACATAACTGTATTAAAAGTTAAACACTGAATAAACCTTTCAAAATTATACAAAAGTATTTACATTATTGAAATATTTTTAATGTTAAGCATACTGTACATACCATAATTAATTGCCTCATAATGAACACGTATCTTGATATCATTGCGAACTTTTCTATCATGGTAGTAATTGTGTTCATCATATTCAGGATTTTTGTACACAATTAACACATTATTGTGAGACGATATTATATTTGTGTCAACCGACATATATTTAGAATATTTATCCATATAGTTATCCTTATAATTGGGATACTTTTTTAGTGATTTGTCAGACTCTGTACTGCCATCATATATGCGCAATGTATCAGGTTTTTGTATTACCGTGGATGTATTAAATTCCAATAATATACTCATATTGGTGGCCACACTTATACTCCAATAGCATATCAATGGTATAGTTAGCTCAGAAGCTTGTTTGACCAGGCTTATATCACCACTATCACCAATATAGGTTGTATTGCATTGGAAGGCTAATATTGGAATGAAGATTAACTTTTTATTTAAACTGAATAATGCAAATAAATGTATGAATATACACTGGTATTAACAATAATATGTTTGCATAAATTACTATCAAAATGGTATATACCTGACTGAATAGCTTTATAACTCATTTTAATGGTTCGACTCGTATCACCTTCGTCAATTTCTGGTCTTTTCTCTATACCAAATTTAATAATGATTTTATTTGACCTGGATACAACGCTTTCATATGTGATATCGTCGAAGATGCGAAATGTTCGTGTTGTTGAATCCCATATCTCATTGCCGTTGTATATGAAAAGGAAGTCCACATAAGACTTGGCATTAATCTCGTCGATTGTCAACGATATGCTCTTTGTGTGGTCGACCACTATATACAACCGACAAATCCATAACTTGGATGTGATCTCGGTGATGTTTACACTTACATTGATCTCACCCGAGTCACCCGTATATGTCTCATTACAACCTATGCACACATTCAGAATACTATTACAATTCTTAGTTTTTATATTACAAACACAGAATATTCTGGTTTAAATGAGTTTGCTGAGACAATTAATGTTTTAATTTACAAATAATGCTCAAGTAATAAATTACTCACCATTTGGATCACATAATATAAATACTAAATTACTATAAATTATTATTAGCAATAATAATGATTTTACGGTGAACATAGTATGCAAACTTACTACAAATGTTTAAATTATTTATAAATTAATAAAATATTGTAATTATACAAAGACAATTAATTATTTATATATTACACCGTATATATCCATTTATACCGTATTCCCGCGCAAACACCGGCATGCCGTTATAAGTGAGGTTGATCATTTTCACAAAAATGTCCTTATGATACCTTACCGGCATGCCGGTATAAAGTGAGGCATATATTTATGAATGGTCATGCATATGGCCAAACCATAGCGATATTAGTAAAAATTTTAATTATATTTATGTTTTTCTAGCACAAAACTATTTGTACAACGAAACTAAACAATAAAATGTTAAAATTAATGAGATATTAGATATTTTTAACGTCTTTAAATAACAAAATATTAATAATTTTTAAAATCTTAAAAAACATATTGTAGACCTCACTTATTACGGCATGCCGGTATACCCCGCGGTATAACGGCAGTCTCATCAACCTCACTTTACACCGGCATGCCGGTGTTTGCGCGGGAATACGGTATAATTATCTCAGTCATAATTTTTTGGTATTATCATAACATATCTTAAAAGTACGAATTGAAGGTCTATTTATGTGATGATATCTTCATAATCATTGTTTATATAATATATCTTACTAGTATCATACATTACAGTAATTTACAGCACTGAACTGTATAAGTTATTATTTATAACAAGTATTTCATTTAATATTGCTTTATAATAATTAATCTAATATTAGAAAATCTTTTCTCTGATAGTCAATAATAACATTTGAAATAAAGTTATTTTTGTTTATTTATTGTTGTTATACAGATTTTTGTATACAATATCTTCAACACCAGATTTAAAGTAAATTTTAAAAATATTGATCAATTGATAAGTATCGATACATCAACTAATGTTATCTACAGTATATAAGTGCACCAACACTTAATATTATTTATGAGATTCTTACAAATATTAAGGATTTTATTATTTTCAGCAAATTAATCATTAATCATCGCCTATAATATTAATATGGATAACATGTTCACAGAATAGCATTTACCGAAAATGGTCTAAAACTTAGTGCTAATCTCCATATTCAGCAGATTCTGATGGGACGACATGTTGTCGTTAGCGTCGATGTCTTGCAATGAGATTCTGGGGTTGTCTACAAATTCATATGAATTGTTTGCATACCTTTGAAGATCTCGTTTTAGTCTATAAACAAAAAAAATAGAAAATAAAACTTTTAATTAAATTGAAATATGTTTGTTTGGTAAATCAATTTACTTGATAATTAAGACAAATGAAAAAATCAATGCAATGAATAATAATGCAGTGAATACTGTGTTAACAATCGAGAGTCTGTCCACACTTTTCTCGGTATTCATGTAATAATGAACTGCTTGTGAATTATCCGCAATTAGATTATTATTGATGTCAT